TTCAGTGCTCAAAGAAGAGCACTTTACATATGCTCAGAGACACATATTTCAGGTCATACTGTTGGAAATGAAAACAGATTCCAAATCCTTTATGACCCTTGGCAGTAATTATGCCAAAAGCTTGGGGAAATTATTTTGGGGGCTCCAGCATCTGGAACAACCAAGCCACATAGACTCTTGGCATAATTAGATTTGGGGGCTGGGAATGACTTTTCCAAGCTTTGATTGTACCTTTTTTTTAAGTTGGCTCTTGCCTGCATATTAACACTTGTTAGCTATTTCCACAACAAATCAGTGATACATTTTGAAGTTCAGACAGTTATCATGACAGCTGCATAGCAATGACCCAAAGGAGAGCCAAAGAATGTGGGTAGCTGTGTTGATTCATGACAGCTAACCAGTTCTAACAGTTTTTATATGTCTATTGGGAACAGGGTATTTGTAAAATGCTTAAAAGCAATCCTCAGCATGGCTATCAGCCTCCTCCCAGTAAACTCAAATCAAGGAAAAGTTTCCTGAGAACCACCACCTTTCTTAATGCTCCCCCAGCAATAGCATGAGTATCCCTCTGGACAGCTAAACCAGGAAATACCGAATGGATGGTCATCCAGACCCTTATGAGGATCTGCCTCTAGGGGCAAACCAAGAATGGGCAAGTTGGGAGTCCCTTAACAGATTCAGAAGTGGAGTGGGCAGATCAAAAGACAACCTGACAAAATGGTGCTACCTAGAAGAATCCTCCACCTTGTGTGACTGTGGGGCAGAACAGACAACTCTGCATCTGTCTGCTTGTCCACAATGCCCTGCCTCATGCTCAGAGGAAGAATTGTTTAAAACTACAGAAAATGTGACCGCTGTTGCCCATTTTTGGTCAAAACCTATTTAACCACTTGTGTTCCCTCGATTTTTATCAGTTTTATACTTATTTATGCAATGCTTTTGACAGGAAATAAATAAAAAGGGCATTTGTAAAGCTAATGATGCTTCAACTCTGCAAGCCCTTCTCTGACCCAACCTGGCTTTTTAAAAGAGCTGAGATTCTAGTCTTCTCTAACTAATGAAATTGACCTTTAAAGCAAAGTTTAGTAAACACAAACTTGAGTAATCTGTTGTGCCCACTCCTTGTTCATTTTCAATTGATTGCACAAACGACATTTACTGAAATGAATGTTTTCTCTGCAATTTAAATGCATGCTTCAAAATTACTCCAGCATGACACATCAGCCTTACATGGTTATGGAAATGATGGAGTCAATTAATGAACATTAGTTATATGAAATTTACTTGTAACAGAATATTTGTGAGATTTTTCTCTTTGGCGAAATGTGCAAGATGACAGCCAGCTTAGTCCTCGCAGAATATGGACATGCCATGATAGTCATTTAAAAGTGTTCCCATTCTGGAGTTTTAGCTGCTTTGAGATTTGTTGTTATTACAAAAAACAATGCACCCTGCCCCTGATAATGCTTATATGCTATGGACCAATATTACATCTTATAGGGTTTTTCTTCCCCAAATCAAATCCTCTTTTGATGCTATAATTTTATATATTGTGAGATGGATAGAGAGAAGAAAAAGTGGATGTGTCACACTTTTCCTTGCTGGCTTTATCAACATTCACATGTTGAAGGGTAAATGAGTATCAGGAATTCTGTAGGAGCAAAATAAATTTATAAGGAGAGATGATGTAGGGTGGAATAGCCCATAGCAAAGGGATGAGGACAGTAGATTAAGAACAAGAGGGAAACTACAACTCCGTTTTGCTTGCATCCTGGCCCCCTCCTAGGATTAACCCACAACATTTTGCTTATTGACAAGTGAATCAAGTGAAACAGCCATTGAGACATCTTTCATCACATTAAAGGACTGCAGGCCAGTTTAGTTGGTGCACTAAAAGCCAAATGATATATTTTACCTTGTCTCCCAAAAGAGTGTAATACTCAAGGGCAGGGGTCCTCAAACTTTTTAAGCAGAGGGCCAGGTCACAGTCCCTCAAACTGTTGGAGGGCCGGATTATAATTTGAAAAAAGCAGGAATGAATTCCTATGCACACTGAACATATTGTATTTGTAGTGCAAAAAACACTTAAAAACAATACAATAATTAAAATGAAGAACAATTTTAACAAATATAACCTTATTAGTATTTCAGTGGGAAGTGTGAGTCTGCTTTTGGCTGAAGAGATAAGATTGTTGTTGTGTGTTTTCAGGTCGTTTCAGACCTAGGTTGACCCTGAGCGAGGGCCAGGAAAATGACCTTGGAGGGCCGTATCCAGCCCTCGGGCCTTAGTTTGAGGACCCCTGCTCAAGGGCCTCAGGTATGCAAAGTGTAGTATGAAAGGACCCAGTCCTTGCATAATTATTTGTGAATGTTCATTTATTTTTAAGCAATGCTGAGCATTACATATTTAACATTATTATTCCCTGTACATTCTTTGTTCAGCATTTGTAACATAATTTCATGCCAATCTTCATGTTAGTATGCCTGCATCTGCCTCAAGAGAAATGATCAAATCACAAGAAAAATAACTGCATTTAGCTTTTCCCTGAAGAAATAATTCCCCAAGAAGTATTTGCTGTCAGGACTGTACTGCGTTTTATTATCTAGATATAGGAGGACATAATGGCCATGTTTGTTCAGAACAGAAAGGAATGTAGTCCAGCTTTCTGATCCCACAATGGTTATGGGCAGCAAATGTCCAAAGAAACAGATTATCCTGAGGGAAGCAGCTACAGGGAAGTCAGTCCAGTGCAGTCACAGTGGAAATCCAAGTAGATGAAAAGAGGTAATGGAACAAGGTCTCAGCCTGCCCAGAAGTCCTTGCTCTGAGGCTGAGAGAGTGTAATGCCTCCACAAGATCTCTCACTGTTTACTCCTATTTAGTTAGAGGGGATTAGCATTTTATGTATAGTTTGTGGGGTTAGTCTAGATAGCCTCTTCCTATTTGATTGAAACTTCATTTTCCCTGTCCCTTTAAGACCCTTCTCAGGGGCGGAGCCTCGGTTAAGACCTTTCTGATTTCTTGAGGAGTCAGGCAGTGTGGTATTGGAAGGTGAAGAGTAAGGAAGATGAAGGACTCCAAAATAGAACATCACGTTGGAATTATACACTGTCACATCAAAGCTACACAAGTTATATCAAGTCACATCAAGCTACATAAAAGTAAAGCCACAAAATAAAGCCACATCAGAGATATAACAGAATGAGATCCATTCGAAACCATGTTAAAATGACATCCAGTCAGAACTGTAGTTGTGTTTCAAGGACATTAACTCTCCTCACAAAGACTGGCAGTAAAACTCACGAGGAGAGAAAGTTTGAGATCTGTTATTCAATAAATTGTTTTTACTTTAAATGTGTAGCATTCGATCTGTTTCCTGCACCACAGACAACTTCCAAAAGAAATAGCTAGTGTGGGGGCAGAACAGTGACTGCATAACTGTCCAGAAGAAGCTGGATCTGGTGCCTTTGAAGTGTAGGACATGAACCTAAATAGGCAAAATCTGGAGGGACTCACAGAAACAGTAGACAATTCAATCTCCTGTAAGAACAGACATCCATTAGAAAGGGCCCAGCATGAGGGGAAAAACATGAAGGGCCAAGGCTGGACTTTCACACAAGATTTAGTGGAAACTGAAAATGATGGTCTCTTCAAATAGTCTTTGAGACTTTCTGTGGTAATATTACACATTAAATCAGAGTGACTCGCAGTGTAACAAAAACTGAGTTCTGCTATATTTTGCAAGTTTCTCCTCCTCCCCCCCCCCTCCCCACACAGTTTGGTTATTTGATCAAATCCAGATTCATCTGAGACATATTTATATACTTACAATTCAATGCAAGTAAATTCAATATTTTATTGTTTTCCCATATCCATATGTGAACCTACATTTGCATGCATGTTTTTTAAAGAGAATTAAAAAACTTTTTTGATAGATTTTAAAATGTTCCAGATTTAGTCTTTAAAAATAGATTTTAAAACATAGCTAAACAAAACCAAAACAAAACAGAAAAAAATGTCAATGCTAATTACAAAATAAGATAAAAGGAAATGTCCGAGTTCAAACCTGTGTAGAAGATTTGCCTTTATCCCCTAATTTAAGATGTGTATGCACAATGACTTGTATGGTATAATATGAACTTTTATGTCCCTATTAGAGAATATTTAGAAATTGTCTTAAGTAATACCATCATCAGAAGGATACATTCATACATATGCATCCATCTAATTTTACATAACTCGGACATTAATGTTGACATTTAAAAACTGATTTGAGGACAAAGTGCAGAGCTCAACTGAAGTCCTGAAGCAAAGATTCATGTAATGACTTTTCCAAAGGTACAGTCACAGTATCTGTGGAAGCCTCAAAATTTTGCACATTTCATATACTATAATTCTATGTGAGTTCTTCCTTCTGTCTCTGTTGGCCTGCTATTTATCTCCTTCAGAACTAAATCTCTTAAGATGCCCCTCTACTAACAAACCATTAAAGGACTTGTTTTAGTTATTCATTTTTTTTTAAAAAAAGTATGTTGTACTATAGAGCCCAGAAAAGTAACTTTTGGAATGTAGCTTCAGGGTATTCTAGGAGTCCCATTTCACAAATGATCTTTCCCAAGTTCGTAATGATTATTTTAAATCCAGTTGCTAGCAATGATTAAGGAAGACCTGTCAAATAAATGGGGATGCTGTTATCCATAGAGTAAGTTGTTCAGTGTGGTCAAGATGTCAAAAGTTATTAATGTGGAAAAACATGAGAATACATCAGTCTGCTTTTGCCTGAGTTTACAGGAAATAGCAAGACTCCACTTCTGCTCTTCTCTTTTCCTGCTGAGTTAGCTGGGCCCAAGCTCATTTTGCAGCAATTGGAATAAGCTGAAAACAAAGGGGGAAAGTGAGAGGAAAGAGAAACATTTCAAAATCAGTTGAAAAAATGTGGGGCAACAGAGGATTAATCTAAATTGCCCTTGCGAAATCAGGACACAGTGCGACACTCAAATTATTGCCATAAAAATAAAACTATTTTATTAGATATATAAATAAAATGTTTAGCGTAGAGTTTTCTATGTTTGCCTCTTCTTCCCATTTCTTAAACATACATGCATTTTCTTCTGTAATAAAACCTGAGTGACTATAGAACCAAATAATCACTTTGGAGACAAACACATAGCAGGAGAGAATAATTCTTCCTTTTACAGTTCTTGCTTGGGTTTTACAGTACTTTCAGAGATAGCTACATAAAACACCATTCTTTTTGCCATAACAATGGACTAATGAACTACCCAAACAAAAGCCACAAGAATAAAACATTATTGACATTCTGTGACTTAAAATAAATTACAACCTATGTTTTACAAGGTGATGACCTCCTACTCCTCACCCTTTTCTCTGTAATTAGTGTCCTCTTCAGTTGGGTTTCCATTTCTCAGATGTCTTCAAAATGAAGAGTACCCGACGGAATGCAATAGAAGTTCATGCTATATGTGGGTTAAGAAGTATTGGGAATGGGCCCAGTCCCCTCCTTGCCATGCTATGTTTCAGCAGCAGCAGCCACCAAAATGGTAAGCAATTGTTTTATTGAGACCTCTTTTGCATTGCCATATAAAATCCAGATTATTTGCTTTGAACTGGATTGTATGGCAGTGTAGACTTAGATAATCCAGTTCAAAGCAGATAATATGGATTATCTGCTTTGATAATTTGGATTATATAGCAATGTAGAAGAGGCCTGAGACTAAAGACAAAGTGCCCCCCTACATCTTACACAGAGAAACCAACTAGATTAACTGCAGAATGTTTTGTGCTCCTAGGACCTGACCAGAGACAAAAATGAGACTAGGCTGCATGCCTGGTTCATTGATTCTTGTCCTTGGCCTGTTAACATTTCTGCTTTGTTAAGTAAACATCTTTTTTATGCATGTTTCATTCTTAACCTCTACCTTTTAGTAGAAGAGTCGACCAAGTGTGTCTCCAAGGCTGCAAAAACTCCTAGGATTTTTTTTTTTTTGCAACCCTTGACTCATCTCCTTTTTTCTGGAAAATAATACATTGTTTTCCTTGGAATTCACTTTTTAAACATAAAGATACTCTTTTAAACTAGACATAGCACAGTTCAACACAAAAAAGTGGAAGTTGACTTCAAGATTAATCTGATGGGGGGGGGGGCATTTGGGCAATTGTATGTGTTCTGGATGCCATAGGAAGAAAATGTCTATTGAATATTTCATATTTTACCAACTCTATGTTTGGATGCAAAGGCTAACACTCACACAGGGTCTCTCCTTTTTCATGTTCATGAAAATGAGATTTGCCTAAAATGAATGGGGAAAGCCTAAATAACTAGGCAGACAGACACAACTAGGAAAAAACAGAGATCTGTGGGTCTGGAAAACACAATCTCAAGCTACTCTCTGTGTGGCTATTGAATCTTTCAGTATTGACAATGGAATGATCTTTGCAGTATGTGAAAGCATCATACTAATGTAGAGGCTCAGGGATTTTGATAATATGGCTCATTCTGCCTACAGCAAAGTTGTTCATGCTGTTACACAATCTACCTGGTCTTACAGCTTTTCAGTTTCTCTTCTGGATTTTGGGATAAACAGAGACCGCTTAGTAGCAGTGCTTGGTGAATCTCATTATATGGCTGCAACTCTTTGCAGAGTTACATGTGGATAGAGTATGAGTTTCAGAGGGATTGTGCATACATAGACCAGCACAGGATTTCAGGCTACATCTTTCTATAATTATAGCTGTGTACTAGCAGTTTCATGTGTGTGTGTATAGCTTGCTTTTATTGGAAGAGATTGTAGCCTGGCACATTCTGGGAAGGGGGGAAATCCTTTCCAGCTGAAAGTGAGGCAACATTTAATTAGAAGCAGCTTTTTCACAACTAATTCAAGATATTCTAGTAGCCTAATAGTTGACTATGCTTCATTAAAACAGCTTGAGAGGCAGCTCAAGATTATGGTAACATTTTATCCCTTTTTGTCTCTGTTCTCTTTGATCAATGGAAACATTTATCAGTATAATTTCTCAATTCTCCCCCTAAAATGCACCGTCTTTTGTACAGTGTTTTAAGCACTGGTAAGATGCTATATCTCCTCCACATGAAAGAGAAGATGGTTCAGCCACAGCGTTATCCAGAAAGGTAGCACTGTACCTTAGACACCTTTCTGAACATGACAAATGCTGTATTGATAGTTCTACTGTATTGGTAATCTGAAAATTATGAATTTGGGGGAATATTTTTAGTTCAGCAATGACAACCCATGCCTAAGCACATTTACCTGGACATTTGACTACCACTAAAGTTTTTTATTTTGAGAGGGGGCCAGAGAGAATCTTTCTAGGAATATATGTTTAGTATTGCAGCAGCAGTCATGAGTTGAAATCATCCACCCATAAAGCAGCTTAAGGAATGTCCCTTTCTTTTGTTTGATTTCTTTTTAGATTTATTTTTCCTTTGTTTATTCTCTGCTTTGTTTTTATTTGATTTCTTCTTCTTTTTCTCCTCTTCCTTGAACCATGGTCCCCAGACTCCTCCATTAAAGTTGGGGTTACTCCTTGGGTCCTTAGGTGGATATCGAACAGGGACAGCTGTCTTATTGAATTGGGAAAGTCTTCGCAGCAACTGCTTTACTACATCAGGATATTTACTAGAAAGGTCCACTCGCTCATAGGGGTCAGCAGTGATGTTGAACAGCCACACTGTTTTACCAGCTGTCCATGAAACTCGCTCGTTGTGCCAACGGCTAGGACCTACATTGCTAAATGACTGAGGAGGGACCCAGTCACTGTACCCTGGATTTCCTGTCAGTAGTTTCCAGTGGTTCACACGGATGGCTGACTGAATTGCTGTATTCCATATCCCAAATCCAGCTGCCCATGAACCATTTTTGGCCTTGGTGTAGATAGGATCAATGTTGTGTAAAATATCCATTCTGGGAGAACGTCTGCTCTCACTGATAGTCTCCCACACATCATAGCCATCCAATAGGGTGTCCTCATCAATCTGTCCTTCTGCTAAGGTGATCAAAGTAGGAAACCAATCTGTTATATGAATAAGCTCCTTGCACACACAACCTTTGTTTTTGAGTAGGGGACTATGAACAAAGCCAACTGCTCGTATCCCTCCTTCCCAGTAAGTTCCTTTGCTTCCTCGGAGAGGCCAGTTATTTCCTCCAGCTGTTGGCTGTCCTCCATTATCTGAAGAGTAAATGATAACACTGTTATTATAATAACCATATCTCTTTAATGCAAGAGTCACATTGTTGATAGCTTCATCCAAGCATGCCAGCATAGCAGCATACCTACGCCGGTTTATATTATTTATTGATCTGTAACGCTCATAATATGTGCCTGGAGCCTGAAGTGGTGAGTGGACAGCTTGGTATGCAATGTATAAAAATATGGGTTTTCTGGGGTTATGGGAGGCTAAGATTTGTTGCACTTTTTGTGTGTACATCTGTGTGGAGTATATGCCATTGTCATGATCCCAAGCAGCATTGTCATTCTCATATAAGTCATAGCCACACATTCGAGGGCTGTCACATTTATAATGGGTATAATAATCTCCACTGCCCAAGAGAGATCCAAAAAAGGTATCAAATCCCCGTTGTGTAGGCATACATTCTTTGCGGTAAAAGCCCAAGTGCCATTTGCCAACCATGTGGGTTGAGTAACCAGCTTCCTTCAGCTTCTGAGGTAGTGTTGCATTATCCAAAGGTAAACAGTTTGGCTGCGTGGGCCTTATGACAGAATGCTGAAGCCCTGTGTGAATTTGGTATCTGGAAGAGACAAAGACAAAAAAAGAAGAAATCACATATTAGAGATAAGGAACAATATATTTAATACAAAAACAAAGGAGAAAGTATATTTTACATCAACAAAAAAGTGAAAGGAAAGGATAACTTTTAGGACACAAATGTACAGTATATCATACACCACAATCCCATATATGTTTAGGAACAAGATATAGACCTGTTCATAGGTCTATATCTTGAATCTGGTGGTCCTAAGCAACCTGGCCAAAAATGAACCACAATGCTGGGAAGGAAGCATCCTTATAATAACAGATTAAAATATATTGCATATAATATTCTAAACTCCCAGAAAACTCTAAGTTTGGTTTGTTTGCTGTTCTGAGCAACTAGAGAGCTTCTTTCTGCAGAGTACTTTCATCACATCTTTCCTTAAATTCTTCAATAACCAAAGGAAACAATGTTATCTCTCCACATTTGTGGTTTTGACTTTTGATTTGAAATCTTCCTTTTAGAAGTCTCTAAATCCTCCAATGCAATTCTATGTTCAGCTTCGAGTGGAAGCTGTTCATACAGACATGCTAGAAAACCTCGATATTCCTAGAAGTGTTCTTCAGGTAATAAAAATACAATCTCAGCGAATGTGGAGGGCTGATTGTATACATCAGCAGATTTTGTCTGCCTTCCCTTGTTACCAAAGCACAACTGTGGTTGTCTGTACCAACCAATTTCTAGTTTCTCTATCTCAGTGTTTGAGGATGCTTATCATAAAGTTTAGCCCCTAACCTTACTCATCCAGTTTTTGATCAAATATATTTAGCATCTTAATGTACGCACTACTGTTTCCAATCTTTCTGTCTATAAACACTCTGCAACTATCTACAGTTTACAGAACGCCTTGCAATATGATCGCATATTTAAATTGCAAAATAAGATTTTCTGTTTCAAAAACATATGGTACCAACATGACAATAAAACAGAGCCAGTATGGTATTAATAAGTAGCATTATGAAAGCCCTTAGTAAACAGCCATTTGGCTCAGAATATTAGTGATAAACATAGGGCAAATGAACTATGTATGTAATACCATGAATTCTTATGTCTATTCTGGATTTTGACTCCATTTTTGCACAAAGTTATCAATGTTTATTTTTAAAAATATATTTGTTGCTGGAGAAATTTAAAAACTGCTCATGGATTCTTATAACAGAGATCACATGGACATGAAGATATGTATCTGCTACTTCAAAGCTGCCATTTTATTCTAAACAGGGCTTTTAAAATTTTGAGCATATCAAAGGATGCCTCTATGACAGGTAATATCTGAATCCATGAACTCATCTGATGTTACATGAAGTGGTATGGTTTCCATAATAGAATAGGTGCTCTTGCAATATCCTCTATCTATGTTTGTAGCTTATGCAAACATGTTAATGTAAATTAAATTGCTATGTGTCCTCTTCCAATGTCTGCCCAATCATTAACATGTGTTGCAGCACAATACACAACCACATAATCTAATCTAACCCTATGAATTGCATCATGTGAAATCCAATACACCATGTAGTCTACTCCTACAGAAATGTACTTGGAAGTAAATGCCACTTATCTACAGGATTAGTTATTGAAATTCTGCTAGATCGAACAGTAATGTCTTCTAGAAATAACATCAACAACGCTAATAACAACCTACCCTCTAACTATCCTGATTTGACAGGGGGGAAAATCCTGATTAATCCTTTGCCATCTCATTTTTTCAGCTATTTTAAAAATATCCCAGTTTTCTTCTCTTCCGATTTTTCTCCTTTGTGCTCAACTTTCTTCAATAGCTCAAAACTTTAGCTTTTTTTTTTTGTCGTGTCAGGAGCAACTAGAGTCACTTCTGGTGTGAGAGAATTGGCCGTCGGCAAGGACGTTGCCCAGGGGACACTAGGATGTTTTGATGTTTTATCATCCTTGTGGGAGGCTTCTCTCATGTCTCCGCATGAGGAGCTGGAGCTGATAAAGGGAGCTCATCTGCACTCTCCCCGGATTCGAACCTGCGACCTGTCAGTGTTCAGTCCTGACAGCACAGGGATTTAACCCACTGCGCCACTTTAGCTCAAAGGAATAAGTAGTTTGGGGAAAGGAAGAGAAGGACTCTTTCCCATCACTGTAGAATCATTCGATTTCTTTTCTTTTCTTTCATAACTTATATTTCCTGTATTTTTTTAAAAAAAGCTTTTCCTAAGCCTGAAACTGATGTATTATTCTGAATAGATCAAATTCCTTAACAATGAGGGGTGGGGGGGGGACATGTATTAAGCAGAAACACTTGCTAGCCAAAGATACAGTCAGACATTTTATAACAGTTGTGCTGGCTTTAATCACCATTAAGTGTAACAGTTGTGCTGTTTCTGTAAAATACATCTTCAGTGTTATATTTAGTATTTATTTAGTTGATTCATTTCCTCTGACTCATCCAAAGGCTACCATCTCTTTTGGTCAGGCATTTTAGCTGATTAGATTATTTATTTCAGCACCCTTCGTCCAATATCAATTTAGATTAATCTAACATAAGGGAATTTATTCGACAATATTCGAAACTTGTTTACAGTATTAAACTGTTTGCAGAATCAGTGTTGTAGTGTTTCTTCCAGATGGATGGTGATGTTGCACTTTAATTGCTTTTCACCAGCTGTGAGTGATTTTAATGCATATGGAACTTTATTTAAAGATCAGTGTATTTTTATAATGGAACAACTTGTGCTATCTTTTTAAACTTTTTAATTACATCTGCATTCAGGGCAATCCATGTACTCCAGTGATCCAAGTATATACAACTAGTTAGAGAAATGCAACCCTTTGTACAATCCAGAGAAAGCAAAGGAAGTTTCAGACATGTTATGCACAGAATAAAAGAATTATTGAGTTTGAAGGAGTCTCAAGGAGTAAATACTCTGACCTTGTACCTCTGCAGAAATCTATAGCTAAAACATCCCAAAGAATCTGCTTTCTGAAGTTTGTTTCAAAAGTTTAGTGGAGGAAAATAGGACACTTCCTCCAGGAGTCTACTTAATGTGACTTGTCTACTTGACTTTGTTTCCACAGAACTCTTAATCTATAAAGTAGTATCTTTCAGACATCTTAATAAATTTACAGTAGAACAATTTACTTTTGGGGGAGTAAAACCAAGAAACCCAAGAAGTGAAAATTAATATTCCCGTCCCTTTATTTAATTGAATGCAGAAACAGAAGTGGTGTGGTGGGAAAGCCGAAAGGAGAGCTTCATGTGAATACTGCACCTTCACATTATCTCAGTCTGAATTGCAGCATTATGATTCCAAATCTTCAAGGGAAAATATCAAGTGTGAATGTATGTGTACCAGGTTAGTTCCCACATTCTCACTTTGCAGTGCAGATAAGATTGGCAAACTAGCTCATCAGATAATTAATAGAATAATCCAGGCAGTAAACCAGCCACATAGGCAGCTTTAAAATCTAAGTTTAGTGCCAAGAGAATGATAGCTGATAGCTGAACATGAAATAACCAATGAAAGCCTTTACCCCAACATCTAACCATCTCCTTTCCCCTTCTTAACAATAAAATGATTAATTTCTAACAGAAGAAGAAGCACAAACCAGTAACAGGACTCACATATTTGTGAAAGTAAAATGCAACTTAGCTATTCTGTTTAAAACATAAATATTATTACCTTAATTTATTATGAAGAAGTGATAAGAAAACAAGAAATAATAGAATAAGAAAAAGCCAGTCTTAATCTGGCCCTATGCATACATTTCTTACTGACTTCAAGTTTTCAACTTATGGGGACCTTATGGCAAACCTATCACAGAGTTTCCTTGGCAAGATTTGTTCAGAAGGGAGTTGCCTTTGCTTCCTGTGAGGCTATACTTTGGGATGGGAACATCTCTTTGGGCTACTTCTGTAGGTTTTTCTATGTGGATAATCCCCTGATCTGTCTGCGAAATAGTGTGTGTGGTCTTAGGGGACTCTTTGGTTACACTGTTAGAAGTGTACTTAACATTAACGTTTGTGCTCAGATTCTGGTGGCAACCAATGGAGCTGGGGAAACGTGAGACAGAGGGAAGATGGACAGTTCACAACAGTTTGATGATACACAAGTGTGTACATGAGGCAGGGGCAGGAAACTTCACCCCCACCCTATATGGCCATGGATTGATGAAGTGATGCAAACCTAGGTGGTGCATGCATACACTGTTCAGGTCTCACCTTAGTCCTATTACTGAAGATGTCAAATTGGGCATCTTCAGTTTACATCGGCCCATATCTTACATCGATAGTATGTGGCCCATATAGATGCAGCCTGAGGGGGAGGTAGACTATTTTTGGTATGTCAGTGTGTGCATACACTCCAGCATAAGATTTTTTGATCTAGCTGTTGATTGGCAGATAAATGACAGCACTGCATATTTATGCTATATGAATAATATGGGTCATTCTGCTTCTAACAGCCTACTTGGTTGCTAGCCTGCGTATGGAGCCTATATTTGACAGTCAATCTCAACACGATTAGAAACACAAAATCATGCGGCCACCCAGCTGTTGTTAGCGTTCTAGTAGTCAACACAGAAAACAGTGTGGAATGCTAGGAGTTGCAGTCCAACATCTTGAAGGGTTTGAGATTTCCAGCTCAGTATTAACACATATGTACGATTCCACTGATTTATTATATTTATTCTAGTTGGATGTAAAGATTGGCTTTAGGCCAGATGATATAGAAAACTCTCCATTTCTCTTTCCTACTTCTTCTGCTCAACTGGGAGAAGCTTGCAATTATAAAGCAATTCAAATATTGCAAACAATTATATTTTTTTATTTCCAGATAAAATTTAAAGCAAACCAGTAGATTGAAACTTTTTATGAAGACGCTTATTACTAGGGAGTGGGATATGTTCACTTTGTATCATTGAATAATAATAGTAGGATAAATTAGGAATCATCATCAATCAACCATGAAGAAAAAGAAGAGAATTAAGCATTCAATCTGCAATAATCTACAACT